AGAGTTAGAATCCCATTCCATAGATGGGAAAGCGGAGGTTGGGGGAGGAGCGATCTAAGGTCCCCGAGAAAGCACACAAGAGTCGAAGCTGGAGGAGAGTGTGTGCATGGCAGCTGTGCGCCACTCCTGTATTAACGAAGGCCGGAGATGGGACCACACAGCTCCAGTGACCCATGGGGCTCTGCCTCGCGAAATCCTTACCTCCTGAATCACCAGAACCCATGGCTGGGGCAGGGAAACCTTTGCCAGAATTCATTTCCCATCAGCCTCATCTCCACCGGCCCGAGGTGCTCCCAGGAGCTTCTCTGGTCTTGCCGAACCTGTAAGTTCCCCAGGGAACTTGTCTGAGAGCACCAAGCTTTGTCCCTTCCCAGGATAATTCCTCTCCTGGGTAAACCAGGACCATAAGCTCGAACATTTCCCAAGGACGGCTCCAAAATAAATTATTTCAGACTTACCAGAGGCTGCTTAATAAATTCCACTCTTCTAGTTTCTTTGGGTATTTTAGAAGCTGATTTATACATACAATATCTCTCTCAAAATGAGACAATCAACACAGGATAAAATTATTGAGTTATGAAAATAGGGGTCAGATGGAGGTGCAGCGCTTTAAATTAAACCAGCAAAATATATCTTTCATACTAAATTGACTCTTTTTGTCTTGGAAATGAATGTTTAATCAGTTAAGACACTGAAGTCGAGGGAGAAGCCTTAAGCATATTTAATTTTGTAAAGGGGCCCGATTCCTCTACCATACAGGACTCCTGCCAGCAGCCATGCCTTTAAAACAGAAGGGCCGACTCCCACGCATGTCAGGAGGCCACGAGGGCCAGGGCAGGGGACCAGAAGGAACCACTGGCCTCTGAGATCAGAGCCGCAGGGGCTTGGCATTACTGCACTAATGAGATGGCTGTCAAATGCCTTGGCCTCGCTCTCCTCTCCAGGGACAATATTCTTAACACACCTCAGTCTGTGCAAACAGCACCTGTGGCGGCATGGCCATCGGGCGTCCTCTGTGCCACCTGTGGCCCCGCAGCCCTCAAGCGTCTGGTAAAACTGAGAGGGGCAGGGTAGGGGACAGAGCTCGACTTGAAGTTTATTTTTGTTTTTTGTTTTTAATCTTATTAGCTGTGTCATAGTCATTCATTCATTTGTTCATTCATAAAGCACTTCTAGGATCATTATGTGTCAGGCCATCATATCCTAAAGGTGCCTCTCCTGGGTGCACATAGCTCCATACACTGATCTTATCCGATCATTTACCACCTTTTCAGAAATGGGGTTTTCGCTTGTCTCTCCACCTGCATGCACGAGGGGTTCTTTAAGGGCATCTCATAGATCCATGGCTCAGAATAGCAGGTGGTCTCTAGTAGGTGCTCAATAAAGCCTGCTGCACAGGTGATCACTGGTAGGTTGAAAATGGCCCCCTAAAGACACCAGATCTTAATCCCTGGAACTGTAAATGTTACTGTATGGGGGGGGGGGCAGTCTTTGTGGGTGTGACAAAATTAAGGCTCTTGAGATAAGGAGATTATCCTGAATTATTCCTAATGCCATCACAAGCATCCTTATAAGAAAGGCAGAGGGAGCCCTGGTTGGGGGGCTCAGTTGATTGGAGTGCCCTCTCGTACACCAAAATGTTGTGGATTCAATTCCCGATCAGGGCTCTTAACTAGGCTGCAGGTTCTATCCCCAGACAGGGCGTATGCAGAAGGAAACCAATCGATGTTTCTCTTTCACTCTGACATTTCTCTCTCTCTCCCTCCCTCCTTCTCTCTCTACTATCAATAAAACATATCTTCAGGTGAGGATTAAAAACAAAAAGAGAGAAAGGCAAGAGGGGATTTCACTGACAGAAGAGAAGGTGACAGGTTAGAATAATGCAGCCACAAGCTTCTAGAAGCTCAAAGCAGCAAGGGGCAGGCTCACCCCAGAGCTTCCAAAAGCAGCTCACCCTGCCTGACACTTTGATCTGGGCCCAGTGATACTGATCTCACCCTCTGTCCTCCAGAGCCGTAAGTCAATTTCTGGTTGTTTTAAGCCATCAAGTTGGTGGCAATTTGTTAGAGCAGTCACAGGAAAACTGATACAGCCCCCTACCTGTCTGAGCCCCCTTTTCCTCATTACGGGAATACCTGCTCCCTCGGTTTGGGTGAGACTACGGGAGAAAACATCTGTACAGCCTTCTGCGCGGGGCTTGATCCCTAACAGGTGAGGACACAGATTCCAGCATCACCCCCAGAGTCCGCACTTCCCTACCCACAAGCACCTGCACCCTGCAGCTCAGGCGAATGTTAAAAATTTGGCTTCATGGGTGCCTTGTCTCTCTTTGCCAGACCATCCCCATGGATGGACATGCTCTTACACGGTTTCCTAATTGGTCCGGCAGCCCTTCCCTGGATAAAGTAGTGTGGCTTATCTTTCATTACATAACAAGGGAATATAAAACTCAATGGACCCTTGAAAACTCTGCCTAATGGAAGAATTAAAGCAATCTGAATTTGTGAAGCATCTTTAACATGAGCTCATTTTAAAGAAATCTGGAAAATGACTGCAAAGTGCCTATTTGGACCGAGCCCAACAAAAGCATTTCCTAAGCAGAGAAATCCAGGGGTCATCCGTGATAAACAGATAGCATCTTTTGTAATTATCAGAGCTATTATAACCAGGTGGCCCTACAGAAGTACCTGAGAGCCTCTGCTGCCTGTCCCTTCTGCTAAATGAGACTGACGGGAAAACAGGGCCATTTGGTTACAGTGGGAATTCGTTTTATTACTGCTAATAAGAATTGTTTACTCAGTGCCAGACATTTGCAAAGACTTTACATACATTATCTCAGATGCATTTCACAGCAAACTGGAGGAGGGTACTGCGACGTTTCCAAGAAATGGGGACCAAAGTTCGAGAGTATAGCCAAGATCTAACGCAGGTCTGTGGGATGCCACAGCCCATACACTCACCGCTGCTCCACGTGGCCGCCACGGAGCCCCAGCACCCGAGGCCTGTGACACTGCAGCCCAGAACCACGGCCACGCTCAGCCCTGATTCACAGCCCTGCCCTGGCTCGTGCTAGCATAAATTCTGAACTGGGACAGTCTGGCGTGAGGAGGCTTTTGTTAGGGAATTGGCTGGCAAGCAGCTAAGGTACAAGCATTCTGACCAAGTGGAATGGAAACCATATGGCCGTGCTATCTTTAGTCCTCCTAGAGAGAGACGAGGAAGCTCGGGCCCTGCATTATTGATGGGCCCAAAGAAAACTGCTCCTCAAGGAGTGGAGCATCCATTCCCACAGAGCTCTTTGGCCAGACCCTGAACATTACACAGTGTGGATCTTGAGTGGGCTTCCTCCCTCCCTCTTCCCTTCTCTCCTTTTATTTCTCACCAAGATTAAAAAAAAAAACAACATATCTTACAAAAAATACATTGAGTATACCGGTTTCTTTTTTAAGCAAGGAAATTTGGTAGCGATGAGAGTCCACAATAAATAAATGAAATGCAATCCACATTGTTAGAATATTAACTGTACGTCTGAAGGTCCCAGGAACCTGCTAGAACTGGACCACAAATCTGGCCGTGGGCTCTGAGCAGCGCCTGCAGAGGTAGACGCCCCCACTCAACGCCACGTGATTCTCACAGGAAATCACCTCAGCAGCACCTCCTTCCCTGTCAGAGGTGTGCTGGTGACCCAAGCCGACAAAACTGAGGACTGAGTCCTCCTGGACACAGTGACTGATCCAGCCACGCGTCATCATGGTCGTTCCTGGGAAGTCCAGGCTGCTGCCCGCCAGAGGTGTCGTGGAAGACACTGGCTGCCAGCAGCCACCACACCTGCTGCGTGGAGAGGCGGGTGGGACAGGGCCCTAATGACACCACTGGGCTCCCTGGGTCCAGCCCGGCCTGGCACCCTTCGTCCACCCCGGACATTTCTGTCTTTTTTTGCTTAATCTAGTTTGAGTTTGGCTCCCGTCATTCAGGGATGAACTCCAGAGTTGTGACTCGTATATAATATTAACTGTGAAGAAAAACAGCAAAAATAAATCACGGAATCATAGTTATTCAGGAGAATTACTAGAAATCCCTATAGGAGATTTTTCTATAATACAAAAATTGCTCTACTGGTTTTCTGTGGGTCTTGATTGTTCAAATCAGCCATTAGGCTAAAAAAACCCCAAACAAACAAACATCTTTTTGGCATGGGATTCAGGACCCTTGAGACCCAGGCTCTGGGAACGGTTTCACATCCTCTCTCCTTCCTTGGCCCCAGGGCCCTTCCCTCCAGCCCAATGCAAACAAATAAACGACAGGACTTCCCAAGTGTGACAGGAGCCTCCAGCCTCCTGCTTTTGCACCTGCTGCTCCCCAGCCCAGAAGGTCCTTTCCTGCTCTGCCGAATTTCTCCCGAGCCTGCAGACTTTAACCCAGGGGTCACCCTCTCCCCTGGCAGCTGGAACAAGAGACAAGATTTTTTAAATTATCTGGTTCTGTTTATATGAAATGTCCAGAATAGGCCAAGATATGGAGACAGAAAGTAGAAAAGTGGTTACCCAAGGCTAGGGGTTGTGGGAGGGCTGGGCACAGATTTCCTTTCTGAGGGTGACAAAAGGTTCTAAAATGGATTGCGCTGCTGGTCACACAACTCTGGGAATACACGAAAAGCTACTGAATTGTACACTTTAAATGGGTGAATTGTATGGCGTGTGAATTAGATCTCAACAAAGCTGTTAAAAGTAAAAACTCAGATGAGATTATACTATTAAAAATAATACGAAAACAAATAATACCGAGCTATTATAAATAGAGTGCCCAAAGCAGGCAGTACAATGGTGCAAATTTCCCTCCACGCCCAGCCCCGTTCCTCAGACCCCCGTGCATGGAGCCAACCAAGCCCAGACCCTGCAGTCCACAGGAGGGTCCTTATCAAGGCACCAACATTCTGCTTCCCTTCCAACCCCCACCCCTGCTGTAACTGGCAGGAACCACGGCGGGTGACCGGAACTCACCGTGGGCAGCTGGCCCGATAGCAGGTGGCTGTCCTGGGCCAGCATGTTGGACACCATGATGGCTGGGAGGTCCATGGCCTGGTAGGAGTAGGCAGGGAGCAGTCCGTTGGGCGCGAGGCTGTGGCACAGCGAGTGGTAGCTGGCTTCGTGGTCCCCCAGGTGCAGGAGGGATGGTTCTGGGAGGTTGGGGGGTGTTATCGGGGGGATCTCATAGTCTTCGTTGCTCTCGTTCTGGCTGTTGTAGGTCTAAAACATCAAAAGCGCATGTTGTCAGGGGCAGTGTCTTACAAATGCAGAACATGCTCCACCGACAGCACCTACAACAGCAACAACAATAGTGATAACTAATTCTTGGCAAAGGAGAGAAGGGACTATCCCCCTGCAAGGCAGACGGTGAAGATGGCCTCATGACCTGGTCAGACTCCTGTCCCAACCACCAGTGGGTGCTTCCTCCTACCAGAGGGTCTGCATACAAACACTTGGCCCCCTGGAGAGTGGGGCCAGCTCCTGTTTACCTGTTCTCTGTCCTCCCACCAGGTCTGGCCACTAAGCCCACCGTGATTCCATGGTTCCACATCCACCCACCTTACAGATGGGAGAACTACTCAGATCCAAGAGGAAAGTGGCTCATCCAAGGTTGGTAGAAGAGCTGGGAACAGAGCTAAAGCATCCTGACTCCCTGTCTGGTAGTTTTCCAGGGCAGCTGGACAACTTTCTCTTATGTGCTCCCAACAGCGGCCCACCAGCTCCTCTCCTGGTCTTTCTCATCTTGGTAAATGTACAAACATCCCTCCGGGAGCACAAGCTAGGAGCTGTACTAGAAACCTTCCCTTCCGATCCTGATTTGTCCATTTTTCCCACCTCGCTGCTCTGACCAGGATGCTCCAATACAATGTTGAATAGAAATGATAAACATTCCCTCTACTGGAATCCTCTGCCCCTCTCCCCTGCCCCCCAACGCTCTCATCCTTACTCTCCTCTCAGCAGTAGGTTTGGTTTAAATGTCTTCCCTGATACTCTCTAGAGCAGGTCACATCCCACTATACCCTCCCAGGTTGTCCTGCATTTCTCCTGAAAAGTACTCCTCGACCTTGTAACTAACTTCTTGCATAATTATTTAATGCTTTAATGTGAGTTCTGCCAGGACAGCCCTTGTATGCCCTGTTTTCCAGAACCTGGCACAAAGTAAGAGCTCAAAACTAATTGGCCGACTGGATGGATGAGCCAGGTCCTAACACAGATGCCATGAGCTCATCTTGGCATCTCACTCAGCCTCTGTGACTGCCCTGGCGGTAGGCGGTGCCGTCCCTATTGTTCAGGAGGCAGTGGGCTGCCGAAGGTTGAGAACCAGAGTGCCTGGGTTTGAATTCTGGCTCTTCTGCATACTAGCTGTGTGACTTTGGGCATGTCACTTAACTTCTCTGTGCCTGTTTCTTCATATGGGAAAAGAGGGTAATAACAGTACATAGGACAGAGTTGCTATAAAGAACAAATGAGTCAATACGTGCAAATTGCTCAGGACACTAGAACACAGGCAGCACCCTCAGGGTTGGTTGTTATTGCTGTTGTTGATCTCCCTGCCTGGAGTTTCAGAGATGTTAAGGAACTTCTCCAAGGACACAGAGCAAGTGAGCAGCAGCTTATGCACTCCGTGTGTGCGCTTGTCTTCCCCTCTGCGAATGTTCCTAACTCCTCACAACACAGGTTTGTGCGCCATGGAGGGGGTGTGTGTCTTTGGCCTGACCACTGAGGTGGGCTGGGGCTGACTTTCTTTAGATGGGACTCAGCCACCGGCATCATATAACTCGGAAAGCAGAGTTCCAGGAAGCCTCTCCCGGCCCCCTGCCCATCCTGCAACGGGACTTCTCTCATTCCCCCTCCGCGGCCCCTTGTACGTGCTTCCCATAGTATCATTACCTCCTGAAATGATTCTGATTCTTTACTTACCTTCTGCTGTGTCCCTTCCCCCAGACCCCAAGCTCCATGGGGGCAGGGATTCAGGCTGTCTTGTCACCAGTGCCTGGCACATGGTTGGCGGCACTGGATGAGCACATGAAATGGGGGAGTGCACGGGCTTTAGGGTTAGACCTCACCCAGGTGTTTCCGCCTCTATCCCTCCTGACAGACCAGATGTCTCTAAGTGACCCATTGTTCATGTCTGTCAACTGCCACCTTCCTCGCTGCCCACCGGCACCCAGGACAGGTGCTGGCACATGGCGCATGTCCAGGGAACACTAAATGATGGCACAAGTCCATTCCTTTCACTAAAAAACCAAAACCTCAACACGTTGGAACTGGCCCAATCAACCAGAAGCCTTTCACAAATAGAAGCATATGGTATATCAAAATATTAGAATAACACAGTTATGACAATTCATTTAAAGAGGCAATTAGCATACTTAAAAATAACTAAGCTTGCAAACATGTACATGCCTCCTTTGAATGCAATCAAATCCTAAATGCATGACACCTGAATATCAACCTGTCCTGTCTCTGACTCATACTAAGCACCTACTGTGTGCCAGGCACTATACCAGGTTTTCCTACATACATTGTCCATTTAATCTGATGAGTTCTGCAAGCTCCGTTTTCTCTCCATTTTTCAGACAAAGAAGACTAAGCTTAGAGAGTGAAGGTATCACATAGCTAGTAAGTCTTGGGTGGGATTCAAACCTAGGTCTCATGACTCTGAATCCAGGCTTTTCCCACACTAGGTCAGAGGCCTTTTCAAGATTCTAATTTCTCACTTCCCCTGAGTAAGAGACGGGGCGCTCAGTGGTACCTAACTTGCTCTCTGGCACCAGTGTCCTCATGAGAATATAGAAAGAGATGTCACATTATAAGAGTTTCAGAAGCTAAAATTAGTAGCAAAACTTTACAGGGAAACTTCTGGAAGAGTTGTCTCTTCCTTTGCACCATTTTCTCATAAACCCATTCCAATCATATTTTCATCCCCTCATCCACCAAAACTGCTTCACCAATCACGTCTGTGTTATTAAATCCAACGGTCAGACCTCCGTCCTCACCTGACCACTTTGACCTTCTCAGCGACATGTGACGGAGTTGGCCACCCCCTTCCTCCTGGGAACAAACTTCTCCCCTGGTTTCTGGGATACCACACTTGCTGGTCCTCCTAAATCGCAGGCCATTTCCCCTGTATGTCCTTTGTGGGTTCCCATTCTCCCCCCGCCACGTATGAATGAGGATGTGTCACAGAGCTCAGGTTCCAAACTTCTCCCCTAAACGCACTCTCTCCTTTGCGATCTCGGGGCTTTAAGTCCCACCTCTGTGCTGCTGACTGCCCAGACCACTATCTCCAGCCTGAGCCCACGGCTACCTGACACCTCTGCTCAGATTCTAACGGACATCTCAAGCTTAACGTGTCTGAAAGGGAACTCGTCCACCCATGGTCTTCGCTTCCTCAACTAATGGCAAGCCCAGCCTTCTGGTCGCTCAGGCCAAACTCCTTGCAGCTATCCTGGACTCCTCTCTTCCTCTCACATCCTCCACCGATTCTGTCAGGAAATCCTATTGGCTCCATCGTCAGAAAAAATACAAGATGTGTCCACTCTGGTCCAAGCCATCATCTTCTTTACCCTGGTCGACTGCAGTGGTCTCCTGGCTGGCTCCCCTGCCTGACCCTTGCTAAGGTCTATCTCACTCTGGGGCCAGAGCGAATCCTGTTAAAATGTAAGATCATGTTGCTCCTCTGCTCGCCACCCTCCAGTGGTCCCCTTCTCACTCAGACTAAGAACAGGGTCTTTAGAACGGCTCTATGGGCTACTCCCTCCATTCCACCTCCGTGCCTTTCACTTCCTTCCCATCACTTCCTACTGTTCTTGTTCGCATCACTCTGGCAAACTAGGCATGCTCTGCCTCACAGCCTTTGCACTGGCTGTTCCCTCTCTCTAGAATGTGCTTCTCTCAAACATCTACACAGCTCATTCCTTTGCCCCCTCAGGTCTTAACTCAAACATCTCCTTCTCAGTGATGTCTACGCCCAGTGCTTCATTTAAAATTGCAAGCCATCAGCCACGCTCTATTGTTTTCTTTTAATCAATTGTCATCTTCTAACGTCCAATATATTGTCAATTTATTGTGTTTATTGATTATTACCCTTCTCACCCCACTAGAGCATCTGCTCCATAAAGGAGGAGGTTTCCATATGGCTTGTTCACTGCTGTATCTCCAGTTTCTTTTTCTTTTTTAAAGATTTTATTTCTCTTTAGAGAGATGGGAAGAGAGGGAGAAAGAGGGAGAGAAACATCGAGGTGCGAGAGGTACATTCATCAGTTGCCTCTTGCACTTCCCTAACTGGGGACCTGGCCCACAACCCAGGCATGTGCCCTGACTGGGAATCAACTGGCAACCTTTCAGTTCACATGCTGACACTCAATGCACTGAGCCACACCAGCCAGGGCTATATATCTCCAGTTTCTTCCTGACATGTAACAAGAGCTCGAATAGTATTTGTTGAATGAATGAATGAATGAATGAATGAATGAAAAAACAAATGATCTATTTACCAAATACCAGAAGAAATAGTGGTAAGCAAATGAAAGGACTGGCAGCCTGTGAAGATCCCCATTTCTAGGCTTACCTTTGACTTTGACCCAAGGGTAAGACACAGATTGACTCCGTCCAGCCTTCCTCCCTTGATGGAACTGGGGCATGAAAAACCGTGTCCTTTGTGGGGAGTGAGTTGGGGGGAGGAGGCACGGAGGCAAATAGCAGAGCCAAGAGGTGGGGGGTTACCAACACACAGGGAGGTAGAGGTCCATACCAGACGTGGGCTGTGAGGCTGCTAGAATCACCTTGTTCCTCAATTCTTCCACTGGTGCTTCTCTTTCCAAATCAACTGAGGGATGGGGATTCAGAGCAAAGCATCGTGACTGGGATAGAAGGCAAATCCAGAAGGAGGATGTCATGCTTTTCCTGCACCAAACCAGGAAGGGAAGGACGCCAGACTGATTCAAATGGCCTCTGGGGTTTTCCCCTCGGGTCAGAGATGGGTATGCCATCTCCTGGAATTCCTATAAGGAAGGGTGTTAGTGGGACACTGAAGGCAATGACTTCTCCAGTCAGGGGAGTTAATGGGCAAAGGGGAGCCCTCTCCGTTCCTTGAGGAGGTGGCAGATGGGAAGAACTCTAAGAACATCCAATGGAGCAGAAGCCTGTTGCAGAGATAAGCTTATGTTCTACGGGATCATCTGAATAAATTCGTATGTTTACCACAATAAAATAAA